CCCAGCTCTATTCTCCTCCTTGTCCCGCCTATACTTCCTGCCTGGCCACTGCCAATCAGTGATTTATTCATTGACCAATCAGCAACACATTTGACATATAGACCATCCCACATCATTGGCAGATCTGTCCAGTGGTGAAAGTGGGATGATGAGGTCTCCCACTATTAATGTGTGGGGTTTTATATGTGATTTAAGCTTTAGTAATGTTTCTTTTACATATGTGGGTGCCCTTGTGTTTGGGACATAAATGTTCAGAATTGAAACTTCATCTTGGTGGATCTTTCCTGTGATGAGTATGTAATGCCCTTCTTGGTCTTTTTTGATTGATTTTAGTTTGAAGTCTATTTGGTTGGATATTAGGATGGCTACACCTGCTTGCTTCTTAAGACCATTTGATTGGAAAGACTTTTCCCATCCTTTTATTCTTAGGTAGTGCCTATCTTTGAATTTGAGATGTGTTTCTTGTATGCAGCAGAAGGATGGGTCCTGCTTTCATATCCATTCTGTTAGCCTGTGTCTTTTTATAGGTGAATTAAATCCATTGATATTAAGGGATATTAATGACCAGTGATTGTTCATTCCTGTTATTTTTTGGTGGTAGTGTGTGTGTGTGTTCTTCTCTTCTTTGGGGGTTTACTGCTGTGGTGTTATCTATTGCCTGTGTTTTTGTGGGTGTATCTGACTTTCTTAGGTTGGAATTTTCCTTCTAGTGCTTTCTGTAGGGCTGGGTTTGTGGATAAGTATTGTCTAAATCTGGCTTTGTCTTGGAATGTCTTGTTCACGCCGTCTATGATGATTGAAAATTTTGCTGGGTATATTAGTCTAGGCTAGCATCCATGGTCTCTTAGTGTCTGCATTACATCTGTCCAGGTCCTTCTGGCTTTCAAAATCTCCATTGAGAAATTGGGTGTTATTCTGATGGGTTTGCCTTTATGAGTCACTTGGCCTTTTTCCTTTGCTGCTCTTAATATTCTTTCTTTATTCTGTACATTTAGTTGTTTAATTAATATGTGGTGAGGGGACTTTTTTGGGGGGTCTAGTCTGTTTGGTGTTCTATAGGCTTCTTGTATCTTCATAGGCATTTCCTTCTTTAAGTTGGGAAAGTTTTCTTCAGTGATGTTGTTGAATATATTTTCTGTGCCTTTGAGTTGGTATTCTTCTCCTTCCTCTATTCCTATTATTTGTAGGTTTGGTCTTTTCATGGTGTCCCAGATTTCTTGGACATTTTGTGTTATAATCTTTTTGGCATTGGTATTTTCTTTGATTGACAAATCCATTTTCTCTATTGTATCCTCTACACCAGAGATCCTCTCTTCCATCTCTTGTATTCTGTTGGTTATACTTGCATCTGTGTTTCCTGTTCATTTACTCAGATTTTCTGTTTCCAGCATTCCCTCTGTTTGTGTCTTCTTCATTGTTTATATTTCCCTTTCCAGGTGTTTGACTGTTTCCCTCATCTGTTTCATTGCTTTTTCATGGTTTTCTTTCAGGGATTTATTGTTTTCTTCTGCTTTATTTGTCTTTTCCTCTAGTTTTTTATAGTGTTCTTCCTATTTTTATGTTTGACTTTTCATTTTCTTTATTGATTTCCTCTACTTTTTTGTTTATCTTTTCTTCAATTTCATTTTTGATTTCTTCTTTAAAAGTCTCTAGCACTCATGATGTTATTCTTAAGGTTGCTTTCTTCTGCTTTTTCCACTTTGTAATGTTCAGGTGTTGCTGTTGGAGGAGGGCTAGGTTCTGGTGATGCTGTATTGCTCTTTATTTTGTTGTATGTACTTCTGCCTTGACATCTGCCCATCTCCTCATGGATTCATTCTTGGTCTTATCAGCACTCTTGGTCCAGTCAGAGCTGATAGATTTGGCATTTCACAAAGCCTCTCTTGGTCCAATGAGAGGTGGCGGATTCTGCTTCTCAGAAAGCCACTCTTGGTCTAATCAGGGCTGGCAGATTCCCTGTCTCCTGAGTTTACTCTTTGTCCAATGATGGCTCTTTGTCCAATGAGAGCTCTCTCTTTCTCTGGGCTGGGTGGGAGATCTCTGGCCTTGATGGGAGCTCTCTGGGCCTGATGAGAGCTCCCTGGGCCAAATGGGAGCTCTCTGGGTCATATGGGAGCTCTCTGGACTGGATAGGAGCTCTCTGGGCCAGATGGGAGCTCTCTGGGCCAGATGGGAGCTCTGGGCCAGATGGGAGCTGGGGGCTGGTCATTAAATCTCAGGAAGTCTCAAGCAGATGGGTGTGGGGGCAGGGCATGTAGATTTCAGGGTCTGCTGGGGGGTCTTGGAGAAGGGGAACCTTCTCACGGGAGCCCCATCTGATGGCCGGCAACTGGGGCCAAGTTGGGTGGGTCTTACCTGGGAACAGCTGGTGCCCAGGGATGGGACCTAGGGGCAGGTTCCCTGGGTGTGACCCCAGATACTCACCTCTGGTCTGGGTGGGAGCTCTGGGCCGGATGGGAGCTGTGGGTTGGTCTCCCAAGAAATCTCTTCTATAAGGGCCAGGTGGTGTTGGCACACGCCTTTAATCCCAGCACTTGGGAGGCAGAGGCATGCAGATCTTTGTGAGTTTGAGGCCAGCCTGGTCTACAGAGCGAGATCCAAGAAAGGTGCAGAGCTACACAGAGAAACCCTGTCTCGAAAAACAAAACAAAACAAAACAATAAAAAGAAATCTCTTCTATAAGCTTGGTAAATAGTTCAGTTAAGAAATCTCTTTTAGATGTTTACTAATAGAGTTTCCTTTTGAATATAAGCTTGTAAAATAGTTCTATGGAGTTTCCTTTTGAATATAAGTTTGTAAAAAGTGTAAATGAGTACATGTTGAATGTAAGTCTGTAGAAAAGTATAAATATTGAATGTAAGTTTGTAGAAGTGAAAATATGTGTAGTCATGTTTTTATTACTCCATCAATATCTGTCTAGACATGTTAGATAACATTAATTTTTAAAGGAATATGTTTTACCTTCAGATATATTAGAACACTTTTTATGATAGCTTAAAATATAATTTCATGATCTTAGTGGCCCTGAAAAACTTAAGGGAAGGTGTCATAATTAGGGGAGCTTTTCTGTCTTCTTCCTAGAAGTTTCTACTCCTGTTTCTGTTTAGAAAGGGGTAGCCTCCCACAAAGGGGTAAGCCTCCCTCAATTGAGTTAGTTTATACTGAAATTCTACTGCTGTGGCAGGAACACATGAGCTACTTAAACAGCTTAAAGTGGTTTTATAATTAGCATGTGTTTTTGTTTACTTGAGTGGACACTTTGAAATGATTTGAAATGACTGTTTTCTCCTGGGAATCAAAATAGTCTCTTGAAAGTTTTATTATACATCTTTTAGGAGAGAATTTTGATCCAGGAAAAGAACTTGGTGCAGCTGAGACTGCTGTAATCACCTTAGACCTATTCTGAAAAGGATATTCCATCTTTATTATCCTCTACTTCTTTACTGGGAGGTGTGGCAGCTATGGAGATTGCTGTGGATGTTTGCAAGCTCAGTAAGGACCTGGGCCAGAACTGAGTTAAGCTCTGTACCCCCTCTAGTCAGAGGTTGGTAGTCAAAGATGGGCAACTTTCTTCTTGATAGCTTCCAACCGGAGACAGAGTATGCTTGATGGAAAGTGTATCTCCATGATACTCCATGAGGGGTAAGAAGATCAATCAAGGAGAAAAATCTAAGACAGGCACAGTCTATCTGAGGAGTCTGGGGGGGGCTTTTTTATATCAAGAAGGGTGAATTGTGGAGGCTTACAAAGGTTTCCTAGTGAGATCTGAGCTTGCTTTACCCAGCAGAGCTGCATTAGAGGATTGCTTGACCACATGCATGGTTACTAGGTGATTGGAAGGGTTTGCACTTGGCTGTGCTAGGGGAAGGTCTTTGCACCATCCCTTGGCATTCCTATAAAAAGCCCTTTAGAAGAGACAGTAAGGGCCAGTGGATAATGATCCAGGCCCTCCTGAGGCTATCCTGTGTTTCTATCTCTTTCTCTCCCTCTATCCTTCTATCTAAATATTTCTCACTTCTCTCTCCTCAAGAGTACCCTTGGAAAAATGTGAGAGTGGGTGTCCTACAAATAAATAACAAATTTAATTCAGAATTATTTGGGTAAGTTCAGAAGTTTCAGTATGTACAACTCTTTCTGCATATTGAGAGTCTGTAACTATATTAAGAGGTTCTGAAAAATCTAATAATACTATGAGAATAGCATATAATTCTGATTTATGAATTGAATCATAAGGGCTTTGAACCACTTTGCTTATTTTTCCTGATTTATAACCTGCCTTTTCTGATTTACTTGCATCAGTATAGAATGTAGGGGCTTCAGAAATTGGGGTACCTTTTATTATACGAGGTAAAATCCAGTTAGTTCTTTTTATAAACTGAAGGCTCTTGTTTCGGGGATATTTGTTGCTAATCTCTCCCAATAAATTACTGTAAGCTCTTTGCCAGTGTTCATTTTCTGCCCATAATGAGGCAATTTCAGCATTGGTAAAAGGTACTACAATTTCTGCTGGGTCTATTCCTGCTAATTGATGAAGTCTCAATTTTCCTTTCAGAATCAATTCAGAAACTTTCTACATAGGTCTTTAATTTTTTACTCTGTTTATGTGGTGAAAGTATCCATTCTAAGATATTTTCTTCTCTCTGCATAAGAATTCATGTAGAAGAATGAGTAAGGTAAAATAACCAGATTATAATCAAGCTCTGGATCTAAGCAAGCCACATGTGCATCCTGTAATTTCTTTTCTACCAGAGTCAATTCTTTCTCAGGCTCAGCTGATAGTTTTCTTGGACTATTTAAGTCCTTATCACCTTGTAAGTTTTGAAGTAAGTTGCTTAGTTCTTGAGTTGTTAATCTAGTTAATATCTCCCAGGATTTTTGAAAATCATTAAGAGTTTGTAATTGATCTTTCCTGATTGGTACTTTCTGTGGTTGAATTTTCTGTAAACCTATCTTATATCCCAAATAATTAATATAATCTCCTCTTTGTGTTTTTTTTTTTTCAGGAGCAATGTGTAATCTCCAACAAGGCAAAATTCTCTTTACTTCATCAAACATTTTTTCTAAGATATCTGTGTCTGAATCAGCAAATAATGGTAAATCATAGGTTGAGGAAACTGTTTACAAATTTGTTCTAATGTCTGTTGTACAAAATATTGTCATAAAGTGGGACTGTTTAACATTCTTTTGGAAGAACTTCCCATGATACCTTTTAACAGACTGGGAATTATTATAAGTAGGCACGGTGAAGGCAAATTTTTCCTCTATCCTGTTCTTGTAAAGGTATAGTTAAAAAAAAAAAGCAGTCTTTTAAATCAATCACTGCAATAGACCATCCCTTAGGTAATAAAGAAGACAAGGGAATTCCAGGCTGTAAAGAGCCCATTGGCTAAATTACCTTATTTATGGCTCTTAAATCTTAACATTCTCCAGCAGAGAATGAGACTGGAGTGCTCAGCTCCAAATATGTTATATATGTCATGTCTCCCTCCCAAAGCACAGGGATCTGTGTAGAAGGGAGAGAAATGTTATAAGAGTCAGAGGTGGTAGATAACATCAAGCAAACCGTGTTCTCTGGACTTAAGGGGGCAGTTGCACATATGGACTCACAGGGATTGTGACAACATACATTACACCTCTGTAAGATCAAGTCATACAAATTCTCAGCATAGAAAGAGGAAGGTGGAGACAAAATCTCGTCACTAGCTGAGGAGCTATTGGCATTTGATGGTTTCTGGAAGGAGAATCAATTTCTTTAATGATGTGAGCCTTGGTTGGTCACTATAATCCAGAGCAGGCCCTACTCCCAAGATAGTTGGGCAACACAAACTAAACTTTCTGAGAAAGAAATAAGAGGGAAAACTCGAGTTGAGTTTGAAGGGATGATATGGTGGTTATAGGAGGAGTGAGGAAAAGAAGAATGAATATGTTTAAAATATATTTTATGAAATTATGAAAGAATTAATAAAGTTCTACAACAGGCTTTCTTTTGGGCCAACAACCAGCTCCCAAATCATGACATGGAGACTTACTATTAATTATGAATGCTTGGCCTTATCTTATGCTTATTCCACTAGCTCTATAACTTCTGTTTCTCTTAATTTATGTTTTACCTCAGGGCTTTTTACCTTTCTTTCATTCTGTATGTCCTACTCTGTGTCTGGCTGTCTGGTGGCTGTCTGGCTGTCTGGCCCCAGGAATCTCCCTCTCTTTATCCCTTGTTCTCTCCTCTCTTTCCCTTGAACCTAGATTCCTTCTCTGATTTATTCTTTCTGTCCACCGGACTTACCTATCCCTTGTCTGCCTAGCTATTGGCTGTTAAGATTTTTATTAGACCAGTTAGGTGCTTTAGGCAGGTGAAGCAACACATCTTTACATTGTTAAACAAATGCAGCATAAACAAATGTAGCAGCACATTTTTACATCAATAAACAAATGCAGCATAAACAAATGTAACACATCTTTACATCATTAAACAAATGCAACATAAATAAATATAATACACTTTGCCTAGTTAAAGTAATAGTCTACAACATAAACAATTGTAACACATCTTTACATAGTTAAAGTAATATTCCATGACAAAGTTCTTTTTTTTTTTTAAAAGGATGGTGACATTTTGGTTGTGAGCCTAGGTTTTTTATTCATAATATTTTATTGATTATTTGGTAATTTCACATTATGAACTCTGAGCATACTCACTTCCCAGTTCTCCTGGGTCTATCCCCCCACAATTGTAATTCCCCCCCCCCAAAAAAAAGAAGAAAGAAAAAAAAAGTCCAATTTGTGTTGCCCATACACTCACTGGAGCATGGTCAAACTTCATGTGGCCAGTCCTGTTAAAGAAAACTGAGTCCTTCCCCACCTGTACTCCCACCAGAAGACATCAGTTGTGGAGAGCTACACTATAGCATCCCTATCACAGTTTTTAAGAGTCTTCTTTGATGGCTTTCTGTCTAGGCTGTTAGTTTTTGGGGGGGTGGAGTTGGAGGTAGGGTTGTCACAGAAGCCTTCTATATATTTTAACTGTGAGTCTCCAGTCATCAATACTGTGGCAAAGGCAGCTTCCTTGCCTTTTACAGTACAGATCATGGATTTACACATGGTTTCTAGGAAGAGCAGAGACCACATGGTCTCTGGCGTCAGCATGTGCCATGGACATTAGCATGGTCTCCAGTAGCAATATAGACCATGGACTTCAGCACAGCTCTCTGCTGCAGCATGGGCCACAGACACTGTCATAGTCCTCCGTGGTAGCATATGCCAAAGATATCAACATGGCTTCTGGTGGCAGTGAAGGCCACTCCCATCAGTATGGCTCCTGGCAGCAGCACAACCCAAGGACATCAACATGGCTTCAGGCAGGAGCACAGAACACAGAAATCCTCATGGCCTTGGGTTTTCTCCTCCCAGCAGGGCAAGTAGTATAGTCTGCAGCTGCAGTGGCTCCATGCTGAGTGCCAACTGACAGGCCTAGGACCAGCCCTACTCAGTTATGACATGTTTCCAAGGGAGCTCCAGGCCACTGCACTCCATCCTGTCCTTGGTGCAGGCCACCACACAGCATGTCTCACCAGGCATAACTGTTGAACATGTAGGCTGCAGGCTGAACCTCTGTCCCGTGCTGTCCATCTCCCAGCAGGGCAGGGCAAGCAGCACAGGCCTCAGCTACAGCAGCTCCATCTCTGGAGCTGGCAGGCCTAGGGTGGGCCCTATTCAGCAACGACCTGTTTGTGGGGAGCTCCAAGGAGCCCGCATATCTACCTGTCATCAGTGCTGGCAGCCCCATGGCTCATCAGGAGTGACCTTTGTGCTTGCAGCTTCCTGGCTGAGATGCAGCAGCAAAGGTTATAGATTCATCATTTTCCACCTGTGGCTCTGTTCAGCCATCTTTCCTCCAGTTTCGTGAGTCCACATTTTAAAAGCATCTTCCCATTAGACTTGCCATTTCTTTCTTTCTTTATCTATCTATCTATCTATCTATCTATCTATCTATCTATCTATCTATCTATCTGCTTATTTACTTATTTACTTACATACTTATTTATTTATTTATTTATTTATTATTTATTTATTTATTTATGTTGTTGTTCTGGAGCTATTGCGGGCCCTGCAGATTCTTTCTTCCATAGTGTCACCCCTTGGAGCCTCCATAGGTCTCTCAGACTCCTTGGAGTTCTGCAGTGCTGCTGCTGGCTGCTGGCCTCTTTGTTATTCCGAGCCTAGTTTTTAATGGATGAACTACCTCAATTTTCTATAGGCATTAAAATCTTCAAATAGATTGCAATAGTGTATCTCCTTGCATGGAAGGATCCTGTTACTTCATCTAACACACATGTTCTGATTATATACTCTAGCATTTTTTAAAAATTTTTTTGACTTTCAAAATGTATCTATGCAATAAATCATTTTGTTTGGTCATGAAACTTTATTTGTGTATTGAACTAACTATTCTGTTTTATAGTGACTTATTACTGGTTATTTTTGCATTGAACTAACTATTCTGTTTTATGGTGACTTATTACTGGGACAACCTGACTTTAAGACTTTGAGATTCTGACAGGACCTAGTTATGAATGAACAGATTTAGTCATTGAATACTTGGTATTCCAAAATTAAGCTTTTCATTTCTATCAGGAGCCAATAACACAAAGATGTTTTATTTTAGTACATATACTTTTTTGTTGTTGTTGTTGCTGCAGTTGGTAAAGGCTTCCACCAGGTTTTGAAATGGTTTCACCTATTTCTATTTAAATCTTCCAGAAGCTTGCCTGGCATCTTTTCCTATTATTGACATTGACAACACTGTGGGATGCATTGAATAATATGAACCAAGCAATGGGATACTTGGCCTGTATTTACTGTAGTGGCCTTTTCTCAAAGTTGTCACCCAGTATATAGACTCGTGTAGTATTCATAAACTGTGAATATGCTGCCTCCAGAGCCTGAATTTCATCTTTCTAGCAGAAGGTAAGAGATTTCCCAGTTTGTCTTTTTACTTTGATACACCCCTCACTACTGTATCACTGAAAATATATTGGTGTTTCAAATGCATAAATCTTGGTGTTTCAGACTTGTAAATTTTCTCAAAGTTTATATCACACTGTCTATAGTCTGCTTTATCAAGGTCTATAACACCCTGGCTGCTGGCAGACACTTACTGTCTGAGCCATCTCCCTAGCTCTTTTTTTTTTTTTTTGCTTTTTAAAAGTATTTTTTGTATGCATAGAAAGTAGTTTGCCAGTTTTCACACCTGACCTTCAATTTCCCATTACACTTATTTGCTCATTATCAACTGCAGAGTACCCATAGGTTTTAGAAATAAATACTATTCAAGTTCCATTACCATACAGTCACTATTTCCTCTAAGCTAGTACATTTTCTTCTACATATCCTCCCAATTTACTACCAAGGAGCATTTTAACAAGTGTCTCCAGTCGGGTAAAGTCTGTTTATTGCTTCATCTACTTATGTGCAATGGGATTTTCATGATCAGGCAATGCTCCAAAGCCTTGTCTTGTTGTTCATTTTTTGAGAACATTCCCAGTACCAACTTTATTAGGTTGTGTTCTCTGGAAATTGGCACTAAAATATAATTTGAGGTGCAAGATGTTCAATAAGGATCAATTCCTTTTAAAGGCAAAAGAAGAAACTATTGAGAAGAGGAAGAAATTGAACTGTGAGGTAGGCTTGAAAAGTTTCGGCCAACTCTGTGGGAGATCCAGTGTTACTTGATCCATGGTGTGTTATGTTAGACTTTTTGTTGCCATAACAAAATATATCAAAGAAACAATATAAGGAAAGAAAGATTCATGGCTTAAATCCATCATGTCAAGGAGAATGAGGTGGAACAGAGCAGCTCACATCAGAGCAGCCAGGAAGCAGTTAAGAGGCTATTCCTAGATTATCTGAATTGCTCCTTTTTATTTATTTATATTTTATGTATGAGTGCTTTGCATGTATATCTGCATGCCAGAGAAGGGCATCAGATCCTATTATAGATGGTTGTGAGCCACCATGTGGTTGCTGGGAATTTAACTCAGAACTTCTGGAAGAGAAGCTAGTGCTCTTAACCTCTGAGGCATCTCTCCAGCCCCTGAATGTCTCCCTTTTTTTTTCATTTGTATTCCAACCTTGCCCTCAACATATGGGGTCATACCCTTTACACTGAAAATGGGTGTTTACTATCTTATTAGTTAATTTTCCTTCAGAGACAGACTTACACTTTATTAATCTCCTAGGTGCTTTTTAATCCATTCAGATTGGCAGTCAAGATTAACCATAACACAGGCCAAAAGTTTTGAACTTTTAAATCTCTACCTTACACAGTCCCCATATGTGGGAAACTCATCAAATATGGTTTTCTTTTCAATTTTTTTGTATGTGTGCTCCTGTACTGGGGATTTGTAGATGTAACCCAGGGTCTTGGACAAGCTAATCATCACTGTACTATTAAGCTACATGATCCATGATCAGTCCTCAAAGTTGACTTTTCTTTCCCCCGTTCCCCTCTGTCCCTCCCTCCCTCTGCTCTACCCTCCCTCCCTTCCTCCCTTCCTTCCTTCTTTCCTGTCTTTTCTTTTTTGTTTTTAGTGATACTGGGAATTGAAATTAGGGTCTTCTGCATTCTGTGCAAATGCTCTACCACTGAACTACATCCCAACACCAAACCTGATTTCTTGAAAGGTAATTCTCTGTGGCAGAGGGAGGTTTTGATGGATTGAAAATTGGAGATTTCTGTAGAATCTTGATGGTGCATTTCTAAGAATAGATTTTTCAAGGTTAGCAAACAACGAACTAGGTGATGCCTACTTAAATTGGAATTGCATATAGACAGTTACTAGTCTTTCAGAATGTCTGTTCCATTTATATGATATATATGATATATATATCTATTAATTATGCTATTCTCCTTCTCTTTCCTCTATTCAGTCCCTTTCACACACACACCTCTGTTGCATTCTCTCAAAATAATTGTTTCTGTTTTAAAAAATATTGTCACACACACACACACACACACACACACACACTTCTAAATATATAATGCAGCCTATCCAATCTATATAATTTATTTTTAGATATGTTTTCAGGGATGACCATTTGGTATTTGATAACCAGTTGGTGTGTTTTGCTCTGGGGAAGACTATTTCTCATCATTCATTAGTTGCCTGGAGTTCTTTGTCTAGGGCTGAGGCCTCATCAGCTTTTCTCTTCCACCTTAGCATGTATATTGGTGTCATTCTTGTTCAAGTGTTATTTAGGCAGCTTCTCTAACATTTCTAGGAGACACAATCTCACACAAAATTTCCTGTGCTCTGGCTCTCACAATATTTCTAGCCCCTCTTTTACAATGATTTTTGAGCCTTAGGTGTAGGAATTGTGTTGCAGATGTATCAGTTGGGACTAGGCTCCACAATTCTGTAGTTTGATTGGTTGTAGTTTTCTGTAATGGTCTCTATTTGTTGAAAAGAGAAGTTTCCTTGTTGAGGGGTGAAGACTACACTCATCTTTGTTTAAAAGGATAAATTTTTAGAATGTAGTTAAGGGACTATGTTGGTTTAGTAAAGTGGTTGTAGGTTCTCCTCCAAGATCCATGACTTCACTAGTCCTGAATAGTTGGCTACGTTTCCAGGACCGGGTATGATTTCCTTCTTGTTGAGCTGGCCCATATATTTAACATGTCTTTAACATATTTAACATATATTTAACTATAATTTAATGGTTTGTAGATACTAAATAAGCAGTATCCATTTTCATATGTAACCTGATGTTTTTGAGGTGCAAAATTGTGAAAAATACCTAAAATTTCATTGGTTTCTGTCTTAACTTTCTAGGAAGTATTTTGTGTCACTAAACTTTGCAGATGACCTCTCACTGTGTTCTTAAGACAGAAACTTACTGTTTCTTGCCAGGACTCCAGTTCTTCTGGGCACTGCTGCCACCTAATCAGGTCCCTTTTTTTTTTTTTGTAAACTATTAGGATGAATGGCAGTTGTAGCAACTTGGTGGAGAATCCATCTTTCCTTTTGTGTATATTTCTCTAGGAGACTATCCAGAATACCATATGTCTTCCAGACTCACAGTATAGTAAAATGACTTATTTAAAGTTTGTTTACAGGCTCCTACTTACCATAGGAATAACTTACAGTCTTATGTAGGTTAAATTTGGAAATGTGGTATATTGAAAATTACTTTTACTTTGAACACTTTTTAAAAAATATGTTTCTTTATGTCTATTTCTTCCTTTAGCTATTACCCCCCTCCCATGGACTGTATTCCTTCAGAATAGGATTTAAGAGCATAAGGGTTGAAGAAAGAGCAATATATGTAGGTTAGAACTTCAGCCAAGAGTTAGATATGTTTCAACATGCTCTAAAAGCTGGATTGAAGGGTGGCAGAAGCTATTTTGATACTCAATATTTTTCTCTAAAGAAATAAGGACTTTGAATTGGTGAACAAAGAGAGAATAATATATTGACTCCCATGACCTGGCCTCATGGAGTCATATCTAATTATGGAATAAAACAGCTTCAATGAGGTAGTTGAAGAAGATTCCAAGGGTACTTGGTACTCTGAGTATAAGGACATAAGTGCTACTGCTTAAGCTCATGTGTTAACATGGCACAGAATGGGAAAATGACACTTGTCTGGCAACTTGGAAATTGATATTGGAGGAAAGTATTTTAAGTAGCCCTAGCAGTCATCTCATGATAGGTACCAGGGTTTCTAGTGCTGTGATGAAACACCATTGTTATGTGATATTTTGTTTGTATTCTGACAAATAAAGCTTGCCTGGAGATCAGAACGCAGAGCTAGTCACTAGTTAACCATAGAGGCCTGGCTGTGGTGGCTCATGCCTTTAATCTCAGTGATCTCAGCCCTTTCAGTAGAAGGATCTGGAGAGGTAAGAAGTCACTGGTGAGTTTCCACTTACAAGTGAGTACATACCACGTTTATCCTTCTGAGTCTGGGTTACCTCACTCAGGATATTTTTCTAGTTCTATCCATTTGCCTGCAAATTTCATGGTGTCATTTGTTGGTTTTTTTTTTTTTTTTTACTGCTAAATAGTACTCCATTGTGTATATGTACCACATTTTCTTAATTCTTCGGTTGAGGGGCATCTAAGTTGTTTCCAGGTTCTGGCTATTACGAATAATGCTAGGAAATGGGAGGTGGGTTGGGGGTAGAAGGCTGGAGGGGTGGGAGGAGGGAAGAGAGGGATCTGTGATTGGTATGGAAAATGAATAAAAAATTTATTAAGAAAATTTCTTAATTAAAAAAAGTCACTGGTGGTGCTCCTCTGCTTCTCTGAGTTTTCAGGTTATTACCTTGATATCTGACTCCTGGTTTTTATTGATAAGACTAAATAGGTTTATGCTTCACACCATGACCAAAATCAAGTTGGGGAGGAAAGGGTTTAAATAGGCTTATACTTCAGCATTGCTGTTTATCACTGAATGAAGTCAGGACAGGAATTCAAACAGGGCTGGATCCTGGAGGCAGGATCTGATACAGAGGCCATGGAGGAGAGCTTCTTATTGGCTTGCTTTCCCTGGATTGCTCAGTCTGCTTTCTTATAGAACCCAGGCCCACCAGCCCAGGGATGGCTCCACCTACTGTGGGCTGGGCCCTCCCCCATTGATCACTAATTGAGAAAATGCCTTACAGCTGGATCTCATAGAGGTATTTCCTCAACTGAGGCTCCTTCTCTGATGACTCTAGCTTGTGTCAAGTTGACACACAAACTAGCCAATACAGTGGCAAAAGCTAGAAATTTAAGGTAGCAAAGATGTTGGGTAAAGCAGAAGGAGAAAAACATCATACATTATAAATTAAGGCTGTTTTACAGTCTTATTCATACTCATATTTGAAATACTAGTAGTGCGTTACAAATTCAGTACTGACATATTAAGTAACTAGTTAGACACCATGTACGTATAAAGAAGAAAATAAACATGAGGACTGTCCTGGTTTCCTTTCTGTTGCTGTGACAAAATACCCTGCGAACACAACTCAGGAGAGAAGGGTTTATTTTCTTGTACAGTTTCCAGTTATAGTCCTTCGTAGCCGGGTAATCCTGGCAGCAGAGGCTTGAGGTAGCTGGTCACATTGCATCCATCGTTAAAAACAGCAAAGAACACAGGCATACTTATTATTCAGTTTACTTTATCCACTTTCATGCAGTCCAGGATTCCCTGTTTAGGGAATAGTGGTACCCATAGTGTTTTGGATCTTCTCACATAGATTAATGTAATTAACACAGTTATTAACAGACATGCCCATAGACCACCCTATCCTAGACAATCCTACACTGATACTTTCTTCCTGGGTGATTCTATATTGTGTTAAATTGACAGTAAAACCAACTATTACAGGTCCTGAAATTCCACAGTTTTTGGAATTAAAACATCATGGGATAGGCAAACTTCTAATAACAATTTCAAAAAAGTAATACATATATAATGTATATAATATATATAATGTAAAATAAAGATATAAAATTGAAAAAACCCATAAAATACACATTCATGGTTATGAAAACATTGTGGGACACTGTATACATTCTTTTGTAGATCCAACATGGCATGATATCCAAATGATAGTAAAAGTTCTACAGATATTCAAGAATATATTCCTTTTTGAACCCCTTTATAAACAATGTTAAATTCTTTAGCAAATTGTTTGTTTATTTCTTTATTTGTTTATTTTTGTTTTTCAAGACAGGATTTCTCTGTGTAGCTCTGGCTGTCCTGGAACTTAACTCTTTCGACCAGGCTGACCTTGAATTCAGAGATCCACCTGCCTCTGCCTCCCGAGTGCTGGGATCAAAGGCATGCACCACCACCACCTGGCTGCAAATTGCTTATTTTTATTAGTTCACTTTAGATGCTGAGGGCTTTGCAATGTCTCTTATTTCTACTCTCTTAGACATAGGATATTTGTGCTCCCTCTGAAATACAGAAATGATTCCTCTTTCTTGATTTTCCCCACCTTCTGATATAAATTTGAATTAAGATATCATTAGGGATGGAAAAGAGATTTAGGAATCAAGTTAGATCTCATAATCTTTTTTCTAAATCTATGGGATAGGTCTTGTCTGTGGGTCTAGTTTTGTCCCACAACCTTAAGCATATTTTTAGGAATGCTATGTTAAGTAGTTATGCCTATATTATTAATATTACATAACAGTTACTTGCATTTAATTGTTTTTAGCATGTGGAGTTGATGTCACTGATCCAGATCTTTAGGGTATTTTTAGAATGAATTACTTTTCAATACTATGATATTATTTTAACAGTAATGCTTTATCTGTATACTTAATTGCCTCTATTTACATTGAAGAAGTGTTGAACCTTTTGGCCACTACTGAGGTATAGTCTGTGATCTTGAAGAATTTTGTTTCTGGTTCTATTAATTGTTTGCAATACTTGAACCCAACACCTTTGCTGCAGTTTGTATATTTACCAACTGAGGTTTTGATATTTTATAAATGGTTTTGATATTTTTCTTGTAATGTCATTGCAGAAGATAAAAATATCATAGACACATGAGCAAGTCTGATATCCTCACTGGAATGTTATATATGTGTTCAATATGTCAGCATGTCTGAAAATCAAAGCAAAACATAGCAGTCATTTGTTTGAGAGAACAGAGGCTTAGAGTTTATCAATGCCATCCCACTGATGGCATGAGAAGACAGGTCTTTGGCAGTCAGCTGGCTAAAATTAAAGGCTACATCACCACAATGAGGAAATCTGATGAAAATGATCATTTGTGAGATGAAACGATCATTTCCTTTTGACAATTATGAAGTTAGGATAGATAGTGTGGGAGGTGTAAGGGTTACAAAGAGGATTAGGTGTAAGAATAACACGGCAGAGTGGGAGGATAGCATTTAGTACAGATGGTAATATAATGCATTGTGGCTATATTATAGGGCTAGGGAAATAATTTTAAAGCTAGTGAAATGAGCATTTTTCAAATAATATTTATAAAGAAAATTATTGTTTTTAAAATAAAAATTAGGAATATTGTTCAATTATGAAAAAATACTTTGCCTTTTTAACAAAGCGAATGTATGTCAGAGAGACTTATAGAGGCTTCAGTTAAGTGTTTTTACCTTTCTGATTAACTCTGTATAAATAGTATATGCCAAAGCATGTACTCTATTTAGTATCACTCTCTTTTAATAAATATTATGTGGAAGCTGAAGAGGTGGCTCAGTTGTTAAGAGCACTGGATGCTCTTCCAAAGGACTCAAGTTTGATTTCCAGACAATCCATAGGTTTGTCTGTAACCCATTCTCTGAGGACTGGATGCCCTGTTGTGATCTCCACAGGCACAATACACATACAGTGCACAGACAGACATGCATGCAAAATACCCATACAGATGAAATAAAAATAAGTTTAAAACATGATCTGAGGCTGCTATGGAAAAAAGATAAAAATACAGTTTATTGAGCAAGTTAAGTAAATTAAAAAGAAATGTATTTTTTCTTGACTAAACTGGCACTGATCTCATGGTACATTCACTAAAATTTCCTTTCTCAATATTACAATTTCATCATATATTTAATGCTTACAGTGCACCTGTA